AAACAAGTTTTTAATACTTCACACTCCCTTAGTCATCCAGGCGCTAACGAAACTGCCAAGCTAGTAGCAGAACGTTTCGTATGGCCGAAAGTTAGAAAGGACTGTTTAGAATTGTCAAAAACGTGTTTACCATGCCAACGTTCAAAAATAAAATACTGCGTTTTAAATGCTGCGTGCAAGATTTAAACAAAGGACAATGTCCAAAATCGCCCTGTGTAATAAAAGCATCGGATATACACGATAATGAATTGTCTATTTTATTATATTAGTTGCATATATTTTTATAACACGGACTAGCTGCATAGAAAAATTAACATTAAAAAGTATTCTACTCGACTAATAACATTAATTGCCGCCATCTTCGCCAAACATCATGATTGTCGAAAAATGATTAGGGATGCCCAATCGTTTGTAATCGATTTTTGAATTTTGAATGAACAGTTGCATATTTTTTAATATGATATACATTTTGAATTTGTTTCGAATAAAATTGCAAAAAAAGCTACAATAAAAATATTAAATTACCATTTCTTTATATTCTTTTATATTATTCCCTAAAAGTATAATTTAAAAAAACCTACTATTCCTAATGAATGAGATCATACTCGATTATGAATAGGTAGTTAGAATAATGCTGAAAAAATATTCGTAAAGATAATTATTCAGAATTTTCTAATGATCGTTTAGAAAGGAGTGTATTTTACGTCTTACTAAACGATAACTAACGAGTTTACTACAATAAATATTTAAAAAAAAACACTTATCGTTACTGCATTTGTTATAAATGTGTTCTTTAAAAAGAGCAATATTGCAGACTAGATACAGATTTTATTATTAATATTGTTACAAGTATGGAAGAAGTAATGTAACACGTACGTGTTATTATAAGTAATATAGGATATTTTCATACTTGTTATGGTATTAATATTATCGTATAACAAAAGATGATGTAAGTAATACTGTTTGTAACGTATGGCTATAATAAATGTTAGGAAATATCCATAAATCGTATTGTATTTGGCGCTCCAATTTTTGATATCACTAAATGGTCACTTGTCACTTGTCAGTCTCTCATGAAAAAAATACAATCTCCAAATCGATTTAAATCGAACATACTAGAATCGATTCTCGATTAAATCAAGTTTTAACAGATCTATTTTCGATCAATCGTGACATTTTCAAAAATGCCTAATATAGACACAGAACATTATTGACGATAAATTACCGTAAATACAACTAATTGTATAGAAACATCATTAAATTAATAAACATAACATCACGCCTGTATTTCCCAAAAGAAGTAGGTAGAGGTGTGTAGTACTGTTGTGTTATACGCCCCATGTAATAGAGGGTGCGCGTATTGCCAAACACCGGACACAAATCCAGACTCCGTGCTACTATTGGGAACTTCAAATTATAAAAACCCAATAATAATCTGTAATATATTATTGGGTATATAATATCCAATAATAAATAAAAAACAGATCAGTTTTTCTGTCTGTCACAAGGAACAGATGTTCCAACTATTGAAAACGATTTCTTGATTTGTTTGAAATATAGCTAGTTCTTGAATAAATCCGATTCAAGAGGCTTTTGGATCGATTGTCCGATGTCCTAATATCGAATTAGAACACACCACCGAAGTGTTCTAAGTCGATATCATAACGTCGGACAAGGATTTTTCAGATCTATATCGATCTAGAAAATCGATTATTTCACTATAAATAATCAAGTAAACGATTTCAAATCGACATGCCTACTTTGTACTACTTTGTACTGTCATCTCTCACTCCGTCAAAATTACATTGGTTGGCGTCGTTTGCTCTTTGTAATTGTATCGGTGTTTGGGTGACTTTCGGGACTATATATTGAACATTACGACTTGGTTGTTTTAACGGACTCTGATTGCATTCTGGAACGACTTACCTTGTTGTGATTTTCAGAACTGTGTACCACTCAAGCGATAACCTAGTATTCATAAACAGACTAACATTCATTACGCATACGCAATGGAAAATGTATTTTGTGTATATTATGGCTCTGCTGGTGGTTCAATGTTGTTGAAAGATGAACAGAGAAGCAATCGTGCAATATTGCTGTAATTGCATCGTGGTACGCAGAACCATCGGTTGCTGTGCCCATGTTATGAACATTATTTGGTACTTGAGCTTTACGAGACATCAAAATAATATCGACATCCCTGCACAGTTTTTAGACAATATTATAATTTTCAATTTAGAAGATGAACAATAAACATGAAATTAATCTGTGTTTCATTTCTAATTCAAACATAATAAGTTAATGTAGGTGTAAAAACAACTTATACTACCAGTTAAGTACTAAGTCGTTAAGGCTGGTTTCATAGTCACACGTTTGAACAGCGCCGTCAGACAGACATTAGTCGATAATATTTAAGCTGTTCAAGCGCGCGCTCTTGAAACTTGGTTGAAACCGTGCTTGATACGCTTGCTGTACGATGGCATGTCTAGCGGTGTGACTGAAACCAGCCTAAATCCTTATACATTTAGGTAATAGGTATCTTACCGTACCGTATATGCTAATGACATCTAAATGCTAACAGCCATTCTATATGTACATCATTTTTATTTTTACATTAATACACACGAACATCATCTCTCATTTCAAAACCAATGCTAAGAAAGCAGGTTTGTTAACTAGATATATAATCATTTATACGTTGCACTTACATACACTTAGGCTTTAGAACAAAAACTGCATGCCTAATTATCTAGATAGGTACTAAAAATAGCTAAATGTTTTCGGACATCGTTTTTCAGTTTGTTAAAAATCACTCGGAGCTATGAAAAATCGTAATATTTGTGGTTGGTTTATAACCTCAAAATCTGATACTTTTTTTGAAATATATCTATTATGCAGCTAGTCCGCTATAAAAATAAGATCATATAGGAATTTACTAATGATCGACAATAAAACACATAATTTTCCGATGCTCTTGGTTCCAGGGCAAACAATGTATGGGCGCAGAGCAATGTCCTTTACAACGATCTGGTAGGGTCGTTGCCATTATCAGATAGCTACTGTTATTGTCTGACGTGCGTTGACCGCTTCACAAGGTGGCCCGAAGTTGTTCCGATCGCTAACATAACATCAGAAACAGTTGCGAAGGCTTTGTTATCTTGTTGAATAGGTCCATTTTACTGCATCACATACATTATAACTGACCGCGGTAAGCAATCCGAGTCAGCTCCAACAACTCGCCAAAATAGCCGGATTCCAACACAAACTCACGATGGCTTACCATCCGGCAAGTAATGGGCTGGTGGAAAGATTCCAAAGGCAGCTCAAATACACGAGGAAAATTGATCGAGTCACTACCATGGGTATTGTTAGGGATACGCAGTTCATTCACAGAGGATTAACAAGCATCCTCTGTTGAGTTATTGTATGGTGAACTTTTAACATTGCCCGGAGAATTTTTTGAGCCCAGTGTCAGCGGTACAACATGCATTACCGAATTTGCATCCCGCATACGCACGTTTACTCAAAAATTACGTCTTGTGCCCATGTCTCAACATATAAATAAAAACGTCTTAATTTTTTAAGACCTTGCCAACAGTAACCACGTATTTGTACGTGAGGACGCATCACGTGGATCCTTGCAGCCTAAATACGGCGACCCTCACAGCAACTCTTGGTTAGCGGGAGGGAAGTTACAGTTACAGTCGATTGCCTTAAACCAGCCTATACTATGTGACGCATCAGATCAACCTGATGTTAACAATACTGTAAAATCCCCGAAAAAATACATAACAGGTTAAGGACGTAAAGTAAAATTTTATGATTTTATCGCCCTTAACCAGGTCTCTGGAGGAGGGTGATGTGAGGAACAAATGACAACAACTCACACATAATATAGAACACATACATTCACACACATGCACACACTCATTTAGCATAGTACATTTTACACTACTAACACAAGTTGGCCGACGCTCAAAGGTGGTGTCATCGATACATTACCATATAAGGTAATCTCGTGTGGCAGCGTCTAAAGGCGGGCGGTGCGAGCGCACCACCTCTTTAAACCTTGATCAGTCGGCAATCCCTCTACGTACTACCACGTAGAGGGATTGTCGCTTTGGCTTACGGACGCTTGTTATATAAATATTTACATGTATACTAAATTCGGTAACCTATTTTCTCTTAAGCTTCTCTCCGCCTTTCTTTATATTATGTTTATGCTTTTTTCTTCTTGTAAGTGCTACATTCTCCTTTTTACTATATAGTTATTGGTGTGACTTTATATTTCTGTACAATAAATGTGTTAGTGTAATAAATACAGGACTATTATTTATCTGTACGCCCACTACTGTACGCGCAACAACAGACTTCACACCCGCTACAAATGGATGCAGGTATCTCAGGACCGTGCCTTATGACTTTCCTTGAGCGAGACTTATGTCAGCAGTTAATTATTTTAATGATGATGATGATCATTATATAAAATGCTGCTAGATCCCAGATGATTACATAGGTATTTAAATACTATGAAACATTTGTGTCAAAAATAAAACATCAGTGTCAGGAGCACGTTAAGAAATTATAGTAATACGTTGTGAGATTTATTTGATTGATTATTTTGAGTATTTTTTTATAGGATAGGGTGAGAAACGAGCACACAGTCCACCTAATGGAAAGTGTTTGCTGTGGCCCATAGACATATACATCTATCCTCATTTACGAATCAAAATGTAGATGCGTTTTCACCCGTGAGGACTAAGATGGAATGCCTCTTTTCCAGTAAAAAGAGTATTGTTTGATAAAAAAAGATTATCAGATGCTAAGCAAACATACATGCTAAAATAAAAGCGACTTTATTTGTATTTTCTACCGACTGTCTCTGACATAATGTTTAATCTTATTACTCTTTAGATAGATTTACGGGTAGAAATAAATTAATAAAACTGAAGGCAAGAGCAAATCTGATAATCTAATAGTATGAATAAATAAAATCTTACCCCTTACACTTGGCAGCAGCTACTATAGTTAAGTTAGAGACATAGTCGACTGGTATGAGGTCAAGTGAATTAGAACTAGCGCCAGCTATGATTCTACAAAGGCCTTTGCCGATCATGACCAATAGTAATGTTGCACCAAACCAGTTATCAATCCAGCCTTCCAATGGTTCATTTTTACTTGGTACAACTGTAGAGAAAACAAATTTCTTATTATTAAGTTGATTCATAAACTCCGTATTTACATATTATGGTAGGCCCTTTATTAAGTTTTTAAACGCTCGCCCTAAAGTTAACAATGTTGAAATAAAATCTATAATTGTAATTTTAAATGCTGATTTACCACGTCTAATCAGCACGTGGTAAATCATGAACTGCGCTCAGAAATGCATGCTTGACATGCTGTAGAATAGAATAGAATAATTTTTTATTCAATATTGATTATTACATAATACTTATTGAAAGTCATTTTTTATTTATCACTGGTTCGGAAAACACCCCAGTCCTGGGAAGAACCAGCAAGAAACCCGGCGTGACTTTTTTTTTTCAAACATATTTCACATAACAATAACTTCGTTTATACTATTTTTAAATGATTTTTCATAGAACCAGCATGGTGGCGATCACCTTATTCCCAGGGATTATTTTCATTCATGTATTTTCATTCATGTTTTCATATCATTTCATTCTTTGATATTATAATTACCCTTTTTGTACAGTTTTTCTTTAATAAAACTTTTAAACTTGTTTATTGACAAACTTTGAATATGTTCTAGGATTTTGTTGTTAAAGAGTATAGATTGTACATAAAATAATTACTGATTCTGTGGAGTCTAGTAACTGGCGTTACAAGCTTATGTTTGTTCCTAGTGTTTAAAGTATGCACATACTTATTTTTATAAAAGCTATTTATGTTTTTATGCATATACATTACATTCTCATAAATATATTGCGATGCCATAGTTAATATGTTTATTTCTTTAAATTTTTCTCTGAGGAACTCTTTACAATTTAGGTTATAAATCGTTCGTACGGCTCTCTTTTGCAAAACAAATATAGCTTCAATATCAGTCGCATTGACCCATAGCAAAATTCCATAAGACATTACGCTATGAAAGTAACTAAAATACACTAATCTAGCTGTCTCAACATCTGTGAGACTTCTAATCTTTCTTACAGCATATGCTGCAGAACTAAGTCTGCTTGCTAATTTAGATATATGGGGCCCCATTGAAGTCGCATTCGCGTCAATAGTAATACCAAGAAAAACAGTGGAAACAATTCATTCACATTGGTATTCGAATGTTTTACATTAGGTATTGTAAATTTAATACACTTTGTCTTATTGGCGTTTAAGAGCATATTGTTGGCGTTAAACCAATGTACCAATTTCGAAAGAGCATTATTTACATCGTCATAATTAATTAACTGCCGTTTGAGTTTGAAAATTAAAGAGGTATCAGCAAATAATACTATATCGTGATTGTCCCCTACAAGATAAGGTAAATCATTAATATAGAATAAAAACAGGAATGGGCCAAGAATCGAGCCCTGAGGAACGCCCATTAATACTACTGATCCGGAGGAACCTTTACCATTGATCACAAAAATTTTTTGAGTTCTGTTACTTAAATAAGAAGTCTAAGCGCAAATTTTTTTACACCGTAATGTTGTAGTTTCCTGATTAATGTCTCATGATGAACACAATCGAAAGCCTTAGAAAGATCACAGAAAATACCTAAGGCATCTTGTGAATTCTCCCAGGCTTTAAAAATATATTTCATAAGCTCAACACCGGCGTCAGACGTCGAGCGACCCCTTGTAAAACCAAATTGGTTTATATGAAGTAATTTATTAGTATTATAATAGTATAAAATAAATAGTATAACAACGCTCTCAGAAATCTCATATAAAACTAACCTAAGTATAACCATCTCACGCCGCTGCAAATGCCAAATTTAATCGCAATAAAAGGCGGAAAATTTGTTCATACACTTTTCGTAAATATTGAAAAAAAAACAGTTTTCCAGGAAAAAAAATTACAAAGATATATTTTTGTTGCAAAAGTATAAACATAGTTATGTTTCAAATTATAATGCCACTTGCGACAAATATCTTTGATGGCACTAAATATAAAAAATTGTGGCTGCAAAACCTTAATTATACATGACTAGGTGTTTAATTATACTAATTACTCCAAATTTTCGATATATCTTTCGACTTTGATATTACATTCCACTAGTAACTGATTGGATAAATAAATATTTGGTTTCATTGAGAATATTCGACTCAGTCTCAAAGAATACCAGCACAAAATATCAGCTTAATACTGCTGTGTTTCGTATAGTATGTGTAGAGAACCAGAGACTTTTTTTACTGGAAAAGAGGCATTCCATCTTAGTACTCACGGGTGACGACGCATCTGCATTTTGATTCGCAAACGAGGATAGATATAGATGTCTATGTGCCACAGCAACCACTTACCATCAGGTGGAATGTGTGCTAGTTTGTCACCGTATTCTATAAAAAAAAGTTTTATTTAACCCAGATGCAAATCGGTGTTTTAAAAGTTTAACGTATGTATATCTGTGGCAACGTAACTCCCACATGGATAAACCTTTTTTGAGACTTGTCACCGTGGCCGAAATTCGGTCTGGAGGACATAATTTATTAATTTAATAAAAATTTGTTCAGCCTTTTAAATATCATCAGCTCTTTGCTAGTTGATGAGGAGACAAGAAATACTTCCACAGGTGTTCGCGCCAAACGCTAATTTCAAGAATCGACGCCAGGGGGCGCGCAGCGCGGTGATTTCCTATCGGCTGACATTCGCGCGAGATCGGATTGGTTGCATGAGGGGCGGGTCGGAAGTGATTGAATGCAGTGCAGTTACTAGCACGGCGTGAGGTCGTCCCGTATAACCTCTATTAGTGTCAGTTTGTTAGGAAATTTATGCAACGACGAGGAATTTGTGGAGTCTAGAAAAATAGACGCCGGGTCGATTAATTGTTTGGAAGTTAATGTTTAATTGTACCGTCGCGTTAAGTACCTTTTGTCTGTTGTGTATGTAGTTTTTTTTTGCGTGCCAGCTAGGCTGACTTTGAATCTTAATGCGGGCGTAGTATTTAATATCGTACGAAGGAATTTAGTTTGTCGGTTGTAACGCTGAAATTTGTGACTCGAGAAGCGACCGCGTTCTTGTTCGTAGTTATAATCTTGTTGCTACGTGAAAGGGAAGTGACCTTTGATCCACCGTTCATTAGTCGTGCCGTGTGTTACGTTTTTGATTACGATTAACGGGGATTTAGTTGAGGTTGAAGTTAATTAAATGTACAATAAAGTTGAAGGATTGAAATAGTGCATAATAAAGTTGATAAATTGAAATAGTGAAATGAGGACAGAAGTTGTCAATTGGTGATCGCCTCCTTTTGAGAGATCTCACCTTTGGAGTAGAGGCAGCGCCTGTGGATCTACGGTCAGACTTCAACGGTCCAGTCAGGTCAAATTTTATATACACCACTAAACACCACTTTACATGCACCTACAACTACCTACGGCCTGACCGAGCCTTGGGGCAGTCTTCGCCTCGGAACCAGGTACGTCCTATTTATTTACCTAGACTATCTCTATTGTGTAGGTCAATTGTCCATAGGCATTTCGAGTCCCACCCTTAGTTGTCCATCGAGTCGACATCTGTATGATATGCCCCTTGTATGGTCGACCTTCGTTGGGGCAGCTAGGGGCGTGTACAACAGATCTAATCAATTTGAAATTCGGTATCTTATTACTTCAGTGATATTGCAAAACATGGCAAACTTGACCTAATACTGAGGCATCACCTGGAATCTTCAGGATACCCAACTCTTCACAAACATACAGCAGAGTATATTGAGAGGAGGAAAGAAAATTTGTGAGTAATTCCAAGGTACATTCACTCGATAGGAAATTTTGCTATATTATAAATTACAGTTTGTGGCGAATTAGTGTATGAATGTATTGTGAATGAAAGGATGAATAAATGTTTTTTTACTATTTAGAGAGATTTATTAAATTTTTAACTTAAGTTTTATAATAGGATCCCGAGTGTTATTGTAAAGTTTTGTTGTAATATTTAAGTGTGCGAATTTAAATATAACAATAAAAATATTGTTTAACGAAATTATTTCAGTATTTAGTTTATATATTGAGATATCCATACCAATAGATGGTCTTATTATAACTGTAGGTATATTGTTTCGTTGTGCCGCTACATAATGCTCGGTAAGTGCCTTCGTGAAGGTGTACGTGTTGGGTCTATCACCTGAAAATAAAACAAAAAATTCTATAGGGCAGATTAAAATTGCCATTTAATTAATAGAATCAGGCGTTACTTTGCGGAAATCCATTATATAAAAGCTTTTAGAAAAATTTGCTTCGCAAATATCCGCGTTATAAAATAAAATGATGTGTCTTACCTAGTATGAAGAGCACCTCCCGCCCTCCCTCAATTGCGTGCACTATCCCCGTCACCACTAATCCCAGCACCACTACTCCCAACACCACTACACTAGGCAAGACACACCACTGATGACAATACGACACGTGTTTCGCCTCTACACGAGGCATCCTCAGGTGATATAGACTCTACGGTGGCTAACCGTTAAGTGAGCGGCGAGCCAAAACAACTGCCTTTTATACAAACCGATGACGCAACCGCTCTCTACTTAAGGAGCGAGCGATCGCGTCATGCGATATAACATGCAACCAATCACCGCCGGACTTACGCAGCCGTTTGTAAAATTAAAACAAACCGCCGCACAACGCCCGCCTACCCTCCAACCACCCAACTAATCGCCGATCACCGTGAGGGTGATAAACGACCGTATTGCAAGGCTCTTTATTATTAGAGAGCAGGCTTAAAGATATTTAAGGGAGGTGAGTTAGTAACATTTGTTTGTTCATTCAGCAATGCAACGGTACTATTATTACTTTTTAATATCTCTAACTGCTCCAGCACACACAGTCGCAGCCCTTTATTACACGTATATAAGACTTAAAAGGAGTGGTCGTTGGCTAGGTTGTGTCCAGTGTCCAAAAGATGTTTGGCAAAATGAGATTTATCGGAATTGCAATTCCTGTACGCGGCTAAATGCTCTTTATAACGTGTCTCGAAATTGCGACCAGTCTTACCCACGTAAACGGCGTGGCATTCGTCACAAACAAGTTTGTAAACACCTGACTTTTGACGAATATCCAACTTATCTTTATTATTACAGATATTTCTAAGAGAATTCTTTGTTTTGAACGCCACATAAACGCCGTTTTGTTGAAGACTATTAGCTACTTTTTCAGATATGGGGCGTAAGTAGGTCAAACTGCTCACATGTCGATGAACATTTTGAGGTTGAACCGCGTACAGAGAGTTGCGAACAACATGCTTTTGTTTCTTTTTAATTAAATTGTCAGTGAGATTTTTTGAAAAACCGTTAGAGACCGCTATTTGACAAATTATATTAAATGCTTTTAAATATTTTTCTTTACTTAATGGGACAGTGAACAAACGGTTAATGTAACAATAAATATCGCCTACTTTATGTTGCCACGGATGACACGATGATGCGGGGATGAACGTGTCGGTGTGAGTTGGGTTTCGATAAATTTGGAAAACATGTGACGATTCTTTTCTTGTTATTGTTAAGTCCACGTTATAAAAATAAATAAAGACCTAAAGTATAATTTAACACCTTCGGTCTCCCAAAAATCGTTAGAGATTATGGCTGTTGACGCGGAGATGGCTGTTGTGATGGGGAAGAAAGATAACATCGTTAAAAGTTTGGTAGCTAATGAAATTCGGACTGTACACGCGTTTTCCCATTTCAATCCTGAGTTCCCTGTTTTTAAGTCCCTAAAGCAGAGAATAAGGGAAAACGACCTTATTGTTACTAAAGCCGATAAAGGCAATACCGTTGTTATTATGGAGAGTAGTGGGTACAGCCAGAAAGTTAACGATTGTTAGCCAAGGTGATGACTTTTAGCTATTGGAATCTGACCCAACCAAAAAGTTTACCTCGTATATTTAGTTATGTATACAACAGTCATCATATGTTTTTCTCGATCACAACTTGTCTCGGAGCAGTCTAGTTCCAATGAATCCTCAAGCACCCATTTTATATGGGTTACCAAAAATACATAAAGAACATGTTCCTATTCGTCCAGTTGTCTCGTATATTGGTGCACCAGCTTATTTCCTTGCTAAAAAATTAAACTTCCTCCTTCGAGAGAAATCTGGATTCAACCCCACTTATAGCCTAAAAATGGCTTAGATCTCATTTCCAAAATTAAAGATATTCGTATTCCGCCTAAATCCATATTGTTATCTTTAGACGTTGATAGTCTTTTCACAAATGTCCCATCCCCTGACTGTTTGCGTATACTCGCAGATCTCTTTGATAAACGTCATCTACATCCCGGGGAAACAAATGATCTTCTTAACTTAACCTCTCTCTGTATGAAACAAAACTATTTCCGGTTTAATAACCGTTTCTATATACAAAAAGAAGGGTTAGCTATGGGGTCCCCTCTAAGTCCCCTTATGGCGGACATTTTCATGGATAATTTTGAAATTTAACATATAGTTTTCAATTAAAATATCTTATATTACTATCTATATGTGGATGACATAATTATTTGCTGGACTGGCACAAGGAGACAACTGGATGTTTTCCTCAATAAAATAAATAGAGTCCATGACAAAATTAAATTTAAACTTGAATCGAAACAAGATTGTTCCCTTAATTTTCTTGACTTAACAATAACAAGAAAAGAATCTTCACATGTTTTCCAAATTTATCGAAACCCAACTCACACCGACACGTTCATCCCCGCATCATCGTATCATCATCATTAAGTAAAGAAAAATAGTTAAAAGAATTTAATATAATTTGTCAAATAGCGGTCTCTAACGGTTTTTCAAAAAATCTCACTAACAATTTAATTAAAAAGAAACAAAAGCATGTTGTTCGCAACTCTCTGTACGCGGTTCAACCTCAAAATGTTCATCGACATGTGAACAGTTTGACCTAATTAAGCCCCATATCTGAAAAAGTAGCTAATAGTCTTCAACAAAACGGCGTTTATGTGGCGTTCAAAACAAAGAATTCTCTTAGAAATATCTGTAATAATAAAGATAAGTTGGATATTCGTCAAAAGTCAGGTGTTTACAAACTTGTTTGTGACGAATGCCACGCCGTTTACGTGGGACTGGTCGCTATTTCGAGACACGTTATAAAGAGCATTTAGCCGCATACAGGAATTGCAATTCCGATAAATCCCATTTTGCCAAACATCTTTTGAACACTGGACACAACCTAGCCAACGACCACTCCTTTAAAGTCTTATATACGTGTAATAAAGGGCTGCGACTGTGTGTGCTGGAGCAGTTAGAGATATTAAAAAGTAATAATAGTACCGTTGCACTGCTGAATAAACAAACAAATGTTATTAACTCACCTCTCTTAAATATCTTTAAGCCTGCTCTCTAATGATAGAGAGCCTAGCAATACGGTCGTTTATCACCCTCACGGTGATCGGCGATTGGTTGGGTGGTTGGAGGGTAGTCGGGCGTTGCGCGGCGGTTTGTTTTAATTTTACAAACGGCTGCGTAAGTCCGGCGGTGATTGGTGCATGTTTTATCGCATGACGCAGTCGCTCGCTCCTTTAGTAGAGAGCGGTTGCGTCATCGGTTTGTATAAAAGGCAGTTATTTTGGCTCGCCGCTCACTTAACGGTTAGCCACCGTAGAGTCTATATCACCTGAGGATGCCTCGTGTAGAGGCGAAACACGTGTCGTATTGTCATCAGTGGTGTGTCTTGCCTAGTGTAGTGGTGTTGGGAGTAATGGTGCTGGGATTAGTGGTGACGGGGATAGTGCACGCAATTGAGGGAGGGCGTAAGGTGCTCTTCATACTAGGTAAGACACATCATTTTATTTTATAACTCGGATATTTGCGAAGTAAATTTTTGTAAAATTGCCATTTATCATAATGACTATAACAATTTTGCTTCTTATTACACAAAGCGGTTTATTGATAGTCTCAAAGAGAGTCTTTTTCATAAATGTGGTCCAGTAGCAAAATTTGAAGTTTGAGGTTGAATTCCATACTTTACATTTAACTTCACATATTTTCCGCGGAACTTTTATGGAAATAGACTCTTGTTTAAATTTGACACCAATTATAGCCTCAAACAAGCAATTAACAAATAAGATGTCATTCTCTTTCGTAGTATTGATCAAATGGACGTAACATGTACTTGATGGTACGAGTACTTCATCACACCGTTACAATAGACTTTAAATTTTTTTTGATGAACATATAACAGGCATTTTCTCAATAGCGCCAACTGTTATTCGTTATACTTAGAAGTTTTTTTTTTTAATTCACGATGCTGCATAACTATAACAAATTGGAGCCGCCTACATTAGGTACTTCGTGCTGACCGCTAAGATTTTAATTCTGCATTACCAAATAAGAATTTAAGCGCATTTTCGGCCGACCAGTTAATTTTAGTTAGTTAATGAACAAAGTTGGACTTGGCAAACATGTATGTAACTTTACTATTCCCACCAATATTACCAATCATTTTCTATGAACACCGAGTTGGTGTTAAATGTCACAGTTCAATTTAAAACAAACATCTGAATTACATACTTTGGTAAACTTACACCAAAGTTTTCTAATCTCTTTATCATTGTCTCCGTATTGCTGAAGTGCAGTATACACATCCTCATAATAGGCTGGTGGGGGATAAATAACCTCTTCGATGATCTCACTATTTGTATTGGAAAATGCGGTAGAAACGTAGACAAATGTCTGAAATAAATTAAAACTATTTATTAAAACATAATGCCATCAGAAACATAACTTGTAAATAAAACCAAGTCCCGCAACTCAGTTATTCTACCGTAAAAAATTGTGAGATCCATGTAATAACAAGTTGGTTATTTTTTTCAGTCCCTACTTAAGGGTCCTTCTATCTTAAGTTATTACGTAATTAACTCACCTAACAACATGTTATAGTGACCAAATCAATACTAAAAATCTTTTATATTTTAAATAAATAGATTGACTTGGCCATAGCATGATAACACAATGTATCTCTCAAGTAATACATATTATATTAAATTAGATTGTTTAATGCGATTGTCAAGTCAATCTATTTATTTAAAACATAAAAGATTTTTAATATTGATATGGTCACTATAAGACGTGGTTAGGTTAGCTAATTACGTAATAACTTAAGACAGAAGGAACCTTAAGTAGGGACTGATTAAATTAACCGATTTGGTATTATATGTATCTAACAAATTTTTATGGTAGAAGAACTGAGTTGCGAGACTGGGTTTTTTTTACAAGTTATGTTTTTGATGGCATCTCATTTCTTTTTGTGGATAGTTATATCTAGGTACCTATCAACACCTATTATTGTATTATATTATACATGTATAGGTACACTGATCATTCACTGCAAATGCAAATTTGTAATCAAACTATTTGAATTCAAACTAAACACAAAGTTACTTACCAAAATATTGTAGTACATTTTTATTCGGTTAAAGTTAGGTGATGTAATTACAATACAATACAATACTATTTATTGTACACTAAGAAAATATAAAAATATTAAAAAGAAAAAATAAACAACTATTCAGGGAAATAAGTGCAGTCTTATTGCTACTTATCAATCTCTTCCAGACAACCCAGAAGAAGAAATAAATAAAAATAAGAAAATGAACAATGGGTAGGGTGCACTAAAACAAAAAAAAATTACGCGTTACAAAGACAACATTCTTCAGGTAGATTAATGACTTTAATTAAGTGGAGGAAGGGAGACGGATAAGAGAGACAAATAGTATTCCTTAACCTGTTTCTGGAACATATTTAAGGATCGAGCACTTTTAATTGACTGGGGTAAGGAGTTTCAATGTCTTCTCCAAGAACAGAAAATGATTTATCATAATAAGTCGAGAAGTGCACAGGAAGAGAGAGGAAGAAAACTAGCATTAAATTGTTAGGCAAAAGTCTAACATTTTATTTAAAATTGAGTCAGAGGATTTTATCTTTTAACTGTAATTTACAGAAGGATCATTCATGGTTACATCGCAGGAAAAAAATGACGAAAAGTTAATATTTGTAGTCACAGGACTTGAAAGATCATCACAGGCTGTCAAGGTATGAGATTTATTTTTAAATCCTTATAATTTTAAAAATACATGACCAAGATGTTTTCCCATTTTTCTAATAACTTTCACGACTTAGCTTATTGCCCGTTTTCGGCTTGACATTGATTTCTGGGACACGTGATAGATATGTACCTGTCACATCGCAGAAATAATTGCCGTAATTTCCATTTTTTGCAAACGTTAATTAATTGTTACTATATCTTAACTACTTTTAAATAACAATAAAATAGGCGCTTTGTATCTTTATAGCTACTTACCGGTAATTGTTTCATTTTCTTACATAGATTAAGAACTCGTCTTGTTCCCTCGAAATTTGTGTTCATAGCAACTTTTAAAGGTTCGTTGAATTTAATATTCGCAGCCACGTGGAAAACGACAGAGACCTAATAGTGTTGAGATTAATTTAGTAATGAACAAATTTTTAGGTTTTGGATTTTAAGACCATGTTTCGATCTGGATAGTCGATTAGATAAAATGATATGTTTTATATTTAATTTAGCTAGGCCCAATGTTTTTATAATACTAGCTCTTACCCGCTGCTGCAGGTTTTATGTTTAAGTCCATGTAGGACTTAAACATAAAACCTGCAGATCTTTAAATATGGTCTTGGGCAACTAGTTCAACTATCGAAAAACCACTTTAAACTCAGTTTTTTTCTAAATTATACGAAAATTATATCTAAGAGAAAATTAAAAAAATAAAAGATGTGCTACTACCTACTAATTTCACGTTAAAAAAATGTCGTATGACTTTTGTCTCTAACACTTAATATTTTGTTATAAAATGGTATTGATTTAAAAAAAAAATAAGAACAATTTTGCTATAAGATGTGAAAGATTAAAGTGTAAGAATAATTTTTTGTTTGAAACTGCAAATCAATAATGCTTTTTTGAAAATTTTCATATAAAAACCTTTTGATTTATCAGTTTTCGATTTAAAAAAACTCTTTTCTCATTTTTTTTTTGATAAATTGTAGCCTACAGGTCTACGGAATATAGGCCTGTCCAATATAAGGTGAGACTTCACATTTATTACTTTAAAGATATGCCCATACTCACGCTGGACAGGTTAAGTGCAGGGTCAATACCCTCTCGCTAGCCACACCCAACTCAAGCGAGGTTAGCACTTGAAAATATATTGTACAAGAAACCATACATTAAAGAAGTTTAAGTTTTTCTTTACGTAGTAGAGCCATGCTGCAGCTGTATTATTAGTATAGTGTTTTCACAGTGGTAGAGCCAAGCGGTAGCTTTTGCTATCGCACGGATGGGCCAGCTCGAACCGGGGTGGTACCACGACCTCACAGAATACCAGCGTGAAGTAGAGGTTTACCTCTGCGTTGCGCTTGGTGAGTGCAGGTGGCCGGAGGCCCAATTCCCCCCCCCCCCCCCATCAACATGGTAGTGGAATTAAATACAAGAATACCCCAGGAGGGTACCAGCACCCCTGGAGAATCCCTCGGTGAGCATCCACGAACAAACTACTTCACTCCTGAGCGTGGGTGCTCAGGCTGCCCCGCGTATTCTGAGGGGGGGGGGGGGGGGCAAAATTCCGCTCGTGACTAATGCTGCTCGGGGCAAGCGGAGCAATACAACCAAGGCGACCTCTGTCACGCTATCCGTGAATTTTTGCAACATCAGGGGACTTAATTCTAACCTTAACGCTGTCCATTACCATCTAGAGACGGCGAAGCCGGCCTTGCTCTTTTTAACCGAGACTCAGGTGTCCTCTCCGGCTGATACTTCATATCTCTCCTACCCGGGATACAAATTGGAACACTCCTTTGTGCCCCGGGCTGGAGTTTGTGTATACGTCAGAGAGGACATCTGTTTTCGACGCCTCGGCAGCCTTGAAGGTACGGACCTGTCCATCCTATGGCTGCGCGTAGACAGCGACGACCATCCCCGCGTCTACGGGTGCCTCTATAGGTCCCATAGCGGTAATGCCGACACAGACCGACTTATCGACCACGTCCAAATGGCTGCAGACTCCGTGCTACAACAGGTCCCATCCGCAGAGATCGTGATACTCGGTGATTTCAACGCCTACCACGCTGAATGGCTTGGTTCTCGTTTAACCGATTATGCGGGTAGATCTGTCTACGACTTTGCTTTGGCATATGGTCTAAAACAACTGGTTACTTCGCCTACGCGGATCCCAGATGTGGAAGACCATGTACCTTCCCTGTTGGACCTACTGCTGACCTCTCATGCGGACAGATATCAGGTCTCCGTCGATGCCCCTCTGGGCTCTTCGGACCATTGTCTGATCCGGAGCACGGTGCCACTCAGGCTCCAATCGCAGTTGCGATCTACAGCTTGCGGCCGTTTTTGGCACTATAGGTCAGCTGATTGGGACGGTATGCGGTCTTTTTTTGCATCCTACCCTTGCTTCTCGCCGGAAGATCCCAGCGTTGTTGCCGATTCTGTTGCTGATGTGGTACTTCAGGGTATGGAACTTTTTATTCCATCCTCTGTGGTGCCCATCGGAGGCAGATCCCAGCCATGGTTTGGTCGCTCCTGTAAAATAGCATCACGCTATAAGCAGGAGTGCTACCGGGCCTAGGCTGACGCATCAACGTCTCGGGATTTAAACACCAGCGCACTTAAAAAGAAGTATAATTCCGCCTCCAGGTCCTTCAAAAGCGTCATTGCCAAGGCAAGGTCTGAGCACATCTGCAGAATTGGCGAGAAGCTAGTTCGCCTTCCTTCGGGATCCCGTGCATTCTGGTCTCTCGCCAAGGCTGTCCAAGGGAACTTCTGTCAGCCATCCCTCCCATCTCTGCACAGAGAGGACGACTCACTGTTGTGCTCTCTTTTTGCGTCTAACTCGACTCTAGATGACGGGGGGAACACACCGCCGACCATCCCGCGATGTGAGTGCTCCATGCCGGATGTGCGATTTACGCAGCACTCGGTTCGCAAAGCACTCTTCTCCCTGGACGTCAGCAAGTCGAGTGGGCCCGATGGAGTCCCTCCCATTGTGCTGAAGACGTGTGCTCCGGAGTTGGCACCGGTTTTAACGCGTCTTTTCCGGTACTCCTACTCCCAAGGCGTAGTTCCGAATTCATGGAAGACAGCTTTGGTCCATCCGATCCCTAAAAAAGGCGAGCGCTCAGACCCGTCCAACTACAGGCCTATCGCCATCACCTCCTTGTTCTCCAAAATAATGGAATCCATTATAAACTGCCAGCTCATGAGGTACCTTGAGGATCACCAGCTGATCAGTGACCGTCAGTACGGTTTTCGTCGGGGTCGATCAGCAGGTGATCTTCTAGTTTACTTAACTCATAGATGGGCGGAGGCAGTAGAGTCCAAGGGGGAGGCATTGGCCGTTAGTTTGGACATAGCGAAGGCCTTCGATCGGGTCTGGCACAAGGCGCTTCTTTCGAAGCTTCCTTCCTATGGGCTTCCCGAGAAATTGTGCAAATGGATCACCAGTTTCCTTGCTGATCGGAGCATCAAGGTCGTAGTAGACGGTGCATGCTCTGATTACAAGCCTATCAACGCTGGTGTTCCACAAGGCTGCGTGCTATCACCAACGCTGTTTCTCCTGCATATCAATCATATGTTGCTAACTGGTAGCATTCATTGCTATGCAGACGACAGCACTGGGGATGCCTTATATACCGGCCGTGCCAATATTTCTCGGGAAAACGTCGCCGAGTACCGGGACAAACTTGTGTCTGAAGTCGAGTCTTTGCTTAACAAAGTCTCGGATTGGGGCCAACTAAATCTAGTCCAGTTCAAACCCCAGAAGACACAAGTTTGCGCGTTTACCGCTAAAAGGAACCCCTTTGTCGTATCTCCTCAGTTTCAAGGCACTCCCCTTGCTGCCTCATCCAGTATCGGAATCCTTGGCGTCGACATATCGAATAGCGTGCAGTTTCGTGGTCACTTGGAAGGGAAGGCCAAATTGGCCTCTAAAAAGCTTGGCGTGCTCAACAGAGCGAGACAGTATTTCATGCCGGCACATCGCTTGCAACTTTACAAAGCTCAAGTTCGGCCCCACATGGAATACTGTTCTCATCTCTGGGCCGGGGCACCCCAGTTCCAGCTCCTTCCACTTGACCGCATCCAGCGCAGAGCGATTCGAATCGTCGACGACCGAGTTCTTTCAGATCGGCTCGATACACTGGCACTGCGTAGAACCTTCAAAAAAAGAGCTTACACCTTTCTAAAAGGTCGGCAACGCATCTGCAATTCCCCTGGTGTTGCGGTTGTTCATGGGCGGCGGTAGTCACTTACCATCAGGTGAGCCTCATGCTCGTTTGCCCCCTATTCTATATAAAAAAAAAACGAATGGGTCGGCTCGACCGGGGAAGGACCACGCTCTCACAGAATACCAGCGTGAAATAGCAGCTTAATGCTGCTGTGTTTCGTATGGTGAGTGTAGAGAACCGGAGACCCAATTTACTGGAAAAGAGGCATTCTAGCTTAGTCCTCACGGCTGACAACGCATCTGCATTTTAATTCGCAAAGGAAGATAGATGTACAATGAAAGAACGATGTAGATGTCTATGTGCCACAGCATCCACTTACCATCAGGTGGACTGTGTGCTCGTTTGTCACCCTAATTCTATAAAAAAAAAGTATCAAGCGCAGTATTAATTCACCGTGCCATCAGTACTTCTCCATCCCTGTCTGAATTATGTATAAGATTTTTTTGAAAATTTCGAACGACATTTTTTCACGTAAATTAGAAACAATAACTTTGCATAAAATTAAGGATATGCAAAGGGTTTTGTCAGACCTTGATCAAATTTATACGCGACCACATAAGAAGCACCAGCTTTCAAATAAAAAAATAATCATCAAAATCGTTTGACTACGAAAAAAGTTATGAAGTAACACATACAATCGTATTGAGTACCTCCTCCTTTTTTGAAATCGGTAGAAAAAACTATATTGTCCTTAAGGTTAAGTATAATAATGACTTGAAATTTTTCTTTTGAGTAAACGTACAATAAATCTACCTTTTCTTGTAGTTCTTTCGCATCTTCTTGTGTAACTCCTAAGTTTGGTTCAGATATGTCACCAACAATAGGAACAACTTTTCGCACATAATCTGCTCTTTCAGACTTTACTCGTTTGAAAACCTAAAAAGGATAGAATTAATAAATAACATCAATTGTTGAAACAATAATTACATGAATTGATTTGCCCAAATACGAACTATCAGATTTTTTAAAGCAATTAGATTACGAGTACCATACCCTTCCATATTATCCCTCTGCTGTGCTCACGCAAATTTGCCCCTCTTTGTTTGGAGTTCGTTCCAGGTACCCAGAGATCCCATGCAACTTATCAGGTGAACTGTTAGTTTGTTTCTTACTCTTTTATGCAAAAAAAAAATAATATACAAACTAAATTTTCTAATTTATTATTAACTACTTGTTCATCATTATCAGTCTGTTAAATCACTGCTGGAAATGGGGTTATCATACATACGTATATTGTCACTCTTGGCAAAAGCTTCAGACCGTAGTACTACAAGCTATAAGATATTTTACGTCTGCCGTGAACAAAATCATTGAAAATACAAAATATTTTTTACATTTACCATAATTATGATGATATGAATTGTATAATATTTTTATGATACTTTTCATAACAGACGCCTCTTATGATACCTATGGGAAGAAATGAAATGCAGTGTGATGATGGCTTATCTGAAGCCATCATCACACTGCGTTCTCTTAAATTGGTATTATTGAGCGCCACCATTAATGCCTGGTAAATGGCAACACTAGTTACCACTAGCGCCCTCTAGTATCGAGTGACAGACCTAGGAGAGTCAAGATTCGTCTAGAAATTTCCATGGAAGAACTTTCTAGAACTATCAACAGTCAATCGGGACCGGTATGTACTCGATCATTCTAGATGTTTCTAAGTAGAAGATTCTGGAACTATCTGAGGCCCCATATAAGCCCGGTATAGACCGCGACCGAGGTCAGTGTTGAATTGGCGATACAAGCGAATATTTCGAAGCGATGCAACTGCGAACTAAAGTGATCAGTAGTACAATTGTGTTTTGTTATAAGTGTGGTTTTAATTTGCAATTAATGTTCTGTAATTTAAGTGACAATTTTGGTAATTCACTCGGCAGTTTCGAAACCCAAGCTCGTAACAGTATTAATAATATTCTTAACAGGTACATTATAGATGATCACTTATATGCTTTCCGAATTTTTACTGTTAATCTTACTTAGTCTTCATCGGTTTTCCTCTCTTTTTTCTCATTAGTTCTCGGTTTTCAAGCTATATATGGCCGACCTTTGACCACTTCAGCTTAGTAATTGGTAATGTGAATATTATCTAATAAAGAAAACTTAAAACAATATACTCACTGGTTGCTCAAAAATATTTTGTAATCGCTTCTCTGGGCTAACATTTTTCTTTTCGCGTATCAAAAGGTAGATTTTGTCCAGTTTCTCGCAACTGTAGAGTAGTTTTTCTAACAATACCTTAAATGGAAATTTATTTACTTTTAAAGTTATACTTCTTTTGGGGCGTTTTGGAAAAATGATGAGAGTGAATTTTTTTTTTGATGCGCGCGCTCACAGACCCCTGAAAGCGACAACTTCAGTGGGTAACTGTCTCTCAAGTTTTCGTGGGAACTGATAACTATATTTAAGGTAGTTATTTTTAGTTCTTTTTTTTTTGTTACGCTAAAGAATTATAACTTCCTACGTGCGTACATCAGTACAAACACACGTTTTTTATTTATTTAAATGTAACATATCAATTTTTAAAATGTTCATCATTATCAGTACGTAAGAGTCCGGTACGGAGGTCTGGACGCCACCAAAGCGGAGACGAGACAAGAGGAGAGATGTGTTTTAAGCAACCAATATGTTTAATTACTGGAAAAGAGGCATTCTATCTTAGTCCTCATGGCTGACAATAATTTCTGCATATTATGTCTGCATTTTAATTTGCAAACGAAGATAGATTCAGATGGTGTCTATGGGCCCCAGCGACCACTTACCCTCAGGTGGTCTGTGTGCTCGTTTGTTAACTTTTACTATATAAAAAAGTTTACATTGAATTTGGAATCAGTTCAAATAATTTAACCTTAAGACAATATTTCAGCCTACTCAACTAGGCTTTGGCACTAGAGATGGCTGTGAGGTGGCTGTACATTCAGTGCGTACATTTTTAACAAACTATGACGCAGATGTTCTTGTAACGGTTGACCTAAGAAATGCTCTTAACTCTATCGAAAAGATAACCCTGCTGAAAGAAGTGACTAACAATACCCCCGAAATTTATCATTACTTTTGGCAATGTTACAGCCAAAATACTATCTTGTTTTACGAAAACCATGTTATCGATTCTGTTGTCAGTGTTTAGCAGGGTGACCCACTAGGTCCAGCACTTTTCAGTTTGGGAATTTAACCCATTAATTCAAATTTGAAATCCAAGCCGAATGTGTGGTACCTGGAAGACGGTACACTGGGAGGTAAAGCAGATAACGTCCTCAGTGACCTTACTCATATTTTTCGAAATTTTAAAAATATTGGCCTTGAACCAAATAGCAATAAATGTGAAATATTTTTTTCCAATAATTTATCTACTTCTCATAGAGACACTTTAATTTAAAATTTCAATCATATTTCTCAACGAATAAGGTGTCCCGTTATTTTTAGATGGTATTAAACATATTTTAAAAACAAAATTTGATCAGTATTTAAACCACGTTGATAAATTGTATAAATAAAACCCCCACATTGCTCTTACTATTGTAAAATATTGTCTCCTTGTATGTACCTAGATTTACTCCGCTCTAGTCCAATCTGGATATGTTCGGATATTTTAAAAGATATTGATAATAATCTTAAAATAGGTATAGAAAATAAATTTAACTTAAAATACAACAGCCTGGACTCAAGCTAATTTACCTATAAAATTTGGTGGTATTTGTGTGAGAAATCTTTCCAGCGTTGCATTGCCTGCTTTTCTTGCTTCCGTACATAGTGTCAGTAATTTATGTAAATAATTTTAAATAATTAAGTAGACCTGAGCTTTGCTACAAAGGCAGGTTAGATATGGAAAACGCTCTGTACCGGCGAAAATGTTCCAACCAAAAACACATTGGGATATTCCGTTGATACAGAACGTGCAGAAAGATTTGTTTCATAATCTCCATAGTGACCAAGATAAGGCACGCCTTCTAGCTGTTTCGACTAAGGAATCTAGTCACTGGATACACGCTTTACTATCAAGTAATCTCGGCACATGCGTTGATGGGGAAAGCTTGCGCATCGCCGTAGGAATCCGACTAGGAGTGGCAATTTGTCAACCCTATCAGTGCCCGTGTGGTAGCAGCGTCGACAAGTTTGGGCTCCACGGATTTTCATGTAAGATAAGTGCTGGTAGGTTTCTACGGCACGGTACTTTGAACGATATTATTCGAAGGGCTCTTGTCTCTATAAATGTTCCCTCGGTTTTAGAGCCTTATGGAATATTTAAAGACGATGGCGATGACGGTATGACATTGTTCCCTTGAGAGAGAGGTAAAGCCCTAGTGTGGGATGCTACTTGCGTAGACACTTTGGCGGCCTCTCAACTCAGGGGTACTTCGTTTAGAGTCGGGGCGGCATCAGAGGCAGCTGAACTGAGTAAGTGGCGCAAATATGAGTCTCTGAGAGATGCCTACATATTTGAGCCATTTGCTGTAGAGACTATCTCTCCGTGGGGTCCACGTGCGGTGAAATTCCTAAAGGAACTCCATTCGCGGCTGGTCGTTGCTGCTGTTGATAAGAGGGCTGATTCTTTTCTCGCTCAACGGCCAAGAATAGCCATTCCGCGGGAAAACGCAGGCAGCGTTTTGGCACGATACCGCGGGGAGTAGGACTATATGATAATTAAGTTCCTGGTTTGTTTTTTTTTTATAATACTTTTTAATATTGTATGTACTAAAATATTGTCAAAAAATTAAATCAGACAATGCGACAATAAAGATAATCTCTAGCAATCATAGTAACAATTTAATTTATCCAGAATGTATGCAACAAATAAAGTAACAACATGCAGGCATCACATCTTAGTCCTCACGGGTGACAACACGTCTGCATTTTGATTCGTAATCGAGAATAGATGTAGATGTCTATGGGCCGCAGCAACCAATTACCATCAGGTGGACTGTGTGCTCGTTTGTCACCCTTATCCTATAAAAATTTTTCTTTGTATATAAATATATAATATATATAAACACGCCTGTCACCCAGAGGGGTAGGCAGAGATTATGGACTTCCATTTGGCACGATCCTGACATATCTCTCTCGCTTCCTCCACATCCATATACCTACGCATACACGCTCGTAGGTTAAAGGTACTCTTGATTTGGTCCATTTTTAATATATCGCCAATTTGGTCGATAAACTTTCGCCTAGGGCGACCCTTCCCGGCTATGCCGTTCACCTCTGCAACATAAATTTGTTTTGTCACTCTTTCCTCATTCATTCTTTCTACATGGCCAAACCACCGAAGCATTCCTTTCTTAATCCTGGTCACAACATCATCTTGCAAACCACACTCTTCTCTTATTAAACAATTTCTCACTCTGTCATTCAGATTCATCCCTAACATGCTCCTTAATGACCGCATTTCTACAGCATTTATTTTACTCTCGTGCTTCTTCTGCCACACTCAACTTTCACTACCATACATTAAAGTAGGTACTAACACAGCATTGTGAATTGCCATACGTGCCTTTTTGGACACATTCTGACTTTACACAATAGAGTGTAGAGCCCTATTCACTCTATTTCCTGCATTCACTCGTCGTTCTATATCCTTATCATATCTACCATCCCTGCTAAGCACACATCCCAAATATACAAACTCATCTACTTGCTCTACCAACTCCCCTTCTATTCTTATTTCACATATCGTTTTACTTTCTTCTCTTTCAAAAACCATAACTTTCGTCTTACTTGCGTTCACTTTCATTCCCTTTTCTTTTAATGTCCTGTTCATTAATGTAACCATCATTTGCATCTCGGCTACCGACGACGCAAGTATGACTTGATCATCGGCGTACAAAAGGCATTTGACGGTTAACTCACCCATTCTTAACCCGCATTCTTTTACTTTCCTTTATACTGAAAAGACCATTAATTCAGCATAAGACCAAGTAATGATCCATCCCTACGTTAGAACCCCGGTAAACCCTTGTATCTACCACTGCGCTCCTCATTCTTTCATCAACAATTATGAAATCTATCATACTTCTATCATCACCTCTTTCCCATGTATACGTGTGAATCTTCTTATGACGAAAGAAGGTGTTCGTCACAAAAAGATTCTTTTCCACGCGTACGGCGAGAAGGCTTTCACCATTCTCATTTATACTTTCATCACCAAACGTTCCCAATATCCTTTCATAACCAAGCCTCCTCACCCCAACCCTTCCATTAAAATCGCCTAATATCACAATATTTTCATTAACCTTGCATTTCATTAGCACCATCCTTACCAACTCCCAAAACTGCTCTCGGATATAAGTGGGCTTAGACATGTCTGGGGCGTAGACCCCTAAAACAAACAACTTCTTTAAGCCCACTTTCATTCGTATCCATAGCAGTCTCGGGCTTACACATTCATACTCTTTCACACAATGACCCATTCTTTCTGAAAGGATGATACTGACTCCCTGGCATGCCCGCTCGGTCTCGTCTACACCAGACCAGTACGCGGTGTACATGCCATGTGTAGTGGCATCTTTTCCCTTCCGTTTCGTCTCATTTACACATAACACGTCTATTCCTCTATCATACATCATATCGCATACTTCATCCATCTTATCATTCATTCCTCCACATACATTCAATGTAGTCAGACGGGCTTCCGCAATCCACTTTTCGCCCCTCCGGGGGACAGAACGTGACGGATGGCGAACCTCGTCGCCGGTTTTCCTCCCGGAGATTCTTCGCACCCCTGCCCCATTAAAGGGGCGCCGGGAACTCGGGGCCATTTCGTTAATTTTTTGCCTCATGGTGCGAAAGTAAGGTGTGGTATTTTTTTACGCCGCTACCACACAGTGAGGAGCCGAGTCAGTTCTTTCGGCTTTGTCGCTTGTTTAGCACCACCCGGGGGACACGTTTAGGGTGGTCCTAGGATTAGGTGGTCGAAGCCTACGGACGCGAGCGACTCATCCCCATTTTTCTTTGTGCAATTGAATATTGGTTAAAAGATTTTAACTATAATATTTTTAATTTCAATAAACACCAGGTAGTCAGTTGCTTTAACAGAGAAAAAAAATTACGCGGTGGCTCCTTAATATTAGCTTATACCTAATATATTATTAATAATAAAGAACGTAACGATAATGTGAATCTCTCTGTTCGGTGTAGCGAACCGTAGAAATGGCGTCTTTGAGCTCGAGCACTTCATTGTTGTCAGTGTTTACAGTCCCCACATTCTATGTATGATTGTTTTCGAAAAAAATATGGAGGAAGTT